ACTGAGGCGCAACCCAGTATGGTGCAAAGCATCAAGACGGCGAAGAGTAGAAGGAGAAGCAGACGAGTAAGCAGGGCAACCATAATCGAGCTTAGACAGGACGAGAGAGGAATGTAAAGCAAGGAGAGTGCGCCTATCTGCCCCCCAAGAAGTATGGGACAAGACCCGAAGGAGGGTAAGGGACTTAGAGCACTCAACACGGAGGTAAGAGATATGGGGAGACCAAGACAAACGAGTGTCAAGGAATAACCCTAAAAGCTTCGCGGAATCTTTGTATTCAAGGGGATGACCATAAAGTGACAAAGAGGGACGAAGAACAACCCGTTTCCGCGTAAAAGTCATGGCACAAGTCTTAGAAGTAGAGAACTTGAAGCCATGACCTGTGGCCCAAGACGACACGGCATCAATCGCAAGTTGAAGCCGGCGTTGAAGGAGAGGCGAATCATCACCCTGACAACAAAGGGTAAGATCATCGACATAGAGAGCGGAGAAGACACCAGAAGGAAGAGAGGAAAGAAGACCATTGAGGGCAACCAGAAAAAGAGTAGTGCTCAGAACACTACCCTGGGGCACACCTTCGTATTGCTGAAAAGGGGGAGAGAGAGCGGTACCAAGGCGCACCCGAAAGGAACGACGAGAGAGGAAGCTGCGGAGAAAGAGAGGGAGATGACCACGAAGGCCAAAAGAATGAAGTTGAGATAGGATATGATAACGCCAAGTGGTGTCGTAAGCCTTTTCTAGGTCAAAAAGGACGGCAACAACGGAGGTCTTCGCAGCAAAAGCAGTACGTATATAGACCTCCAAGTTCACCAGGACATCTGTCGTGCTGCGGCACTTGCGGAAACCAAATTGAGAAGGGGAGAGGAGGTGATGGTGTTCCAGGAACCACATCAGACGAACGTTAACCATACGTTCAAAGAGTTTGCAGACACAACTTGTGAGAGCAATAGGGCGAAAGTCCTTAGGGGAAGTACCCAGAGACCCTGGTTTGCGAACAGGGAGGACAACGGCATCGAGCCAGTCCTCAGGGACTGACGACGACTCCCAGATCCGATTATACAGACTCAGTAAATACTGAGACGTGCTCGGAGGGAGATGGCGAAGCATCTCATAATGAATACCATCGGAGCCCGCCGCCGTAGAACCGCAGAGGGCCAGGGCAGAACGAAGTTCAGAGAGAGAGAAGGGATCATTATAGGGAAGCTGAAGATGAGTGCAGAAATCTAAAGGACGAGACTCAAGGACAGGTTTACGAAGAAGGAAAGATTGGGGAAGATGAAGACCAGAGCTAACAGAAGAAAAGTGGGAACCCAGTTCGGAAGCGACCTGCAACGGGTCCGCCACAAGAGTATCATGGAGGTGAAGGACCGGTGAAACATCGGGAACGAACTTACCCGCTATCTTGCGGATACGCTTCCAGATCTGGGCCAGAGGGGTTTCGGACGTAATTGTCGAGACATAAGAAGCCCAACATTCACGTTTAGCCGTACGGATGGCCCTACGGGCCACCGCACTCGCTTTCCGAAAGAAAAGAAAAGAATCGGTCGTCTGCCTACGGCGGTGCTTCTTCCAGGCTGCACGCTTACAGCGGACAGCCCGAGCACAGTCCGCATTCCACCAGGGAACGCACTTCCGTGGACCCCGAGAGGAAGAGCGAGGAATAGAGCGGAGGGCAGCGTCGAAGACAGTGTCATGAAAAAGGAGGAGAGCGCGAGAGAGGGGCAGAAGGGAGAGGTCAGAGAGAGTAGCACTGAGGGAAAACAGGGTCCAGTCCGCCTTAGCAAACTGCCATCTAGGGAAAGAGAGGGAAGGGCGAAAAGAGAAAAAGGAAACAAGGATGGGGAAATGATCACTTCCATGGAGGTCATCAAGAACCTGCCATGTGAAATCTAAGTAAAGAGAAGAAGAGCAGAGAGAAAGATCAAGACAAGAAAGGGTGCGAGTTCGAGAGTCCAAATGAGTGGGCTCACCAGAATTCAGAAGAGACAGGGAAGAAGAGAGGAGAAACGGCTCAAGGAGGCGACCCCGGGTATTCGTCAGAACGTCACCCCAAAGAGAATGACGACAATTGAAGTCACCCAGCAGGAGCACAGGCTCCGGCAAGGAGTCTAGGAGGTGTTTCAAATCAGGAAGAGAGAGCGGGACACTCGGGGGGAGATAAATGGAACAAACTGTGTACCATTTCCCCACAAAGATACGAGCAGCAGAACAATGGAGAGGCGAAGGAAAAAGTAAAGGAACAAAGGGAACATCAGCCCGAATCAAGAGAGCAGAAGAATTAGAAGCCCCAGCAATGGCTGGGGGGGGGGAGAGAAAGGAATAGCCACGAAAACGACCAGGACGAGCACCAAGCATCGGCTCCTGGAGACAGACACAAAGGGGCGAAAACCGCGAAACCAGAAGTTGGAGTTCGAGGAAATTGGCGTAATAACCTCGAACGTTCCATTGAAGAATGGACAACGACGAGAAGAGAAAGGACAAAAACAGAGAACAAGGAAGAAACAAAGGCGAAAGACCAACAGAGCACGTTAAAGAATATCAGGGTCGGGATCAGGGTCAGCAAAGTCAGGGTTAGGGGGCATGGGTAAACTGAGCAAAGACGGAGGGAAGGAAACGGGAGAACAGATCAGAGGTGGGCGGGCAGGGTCCGGAGGAGGAGGAGGAGGAGGAGGAGGAGACAACGGAGAGGAGCAGTCAAGGACAGCAGCAGGAAGAGGGGGAGTAGAAAGAGAGGAGAGCACCCCAGCAAGAGCAGCAACCGAAAGGGAAGCAGGGGCCAAAGAAACCTCCATAGCAGGAACAGGGGGCGCAAGCACTGAAACGGGAGTGGAAGGAGCAACAGAGCCAGAAGGAGGAGCTGAGGAAGAAAGCGAAGCCTTCTTACCCGCCGGGGAAGAGGAAGGAGAGGAGCCAGGCTTACGCTTCTGACTTAAAGGGACCGGTGTCCCAGCAACTACGTACCGGGCAACGGATTCCAGTGTCTCAACAGGAGAAGCCGAACGAGAGCACACACGACGGCCGTTAGGAGAGCGATGGACATCCGCCCGCACCGACAGGCGGCGGGGAGAGCCGATAGATGGAGGAAGAGGATGGGAAGGAGGATCGGAGGGGGACGAGGAAGGAGACACAGAAGACACGACAGACCGGGTAGAAGGAAGGGGAACCCCAGACAGAGGACCAGGAGGAGGATCCTTCGGGAGAGAACCCAAAGGGACAGAGGAGGGGGCAGTGGGCGCATCAGGGTCCAAGGCCTGGAAACGGTTGTGAGTCTGAGGAAGGCGGGAAGGACGAGGAGAGGAAGAGCGCAACACGCGAGCATAAGAGATATTAGCATAAGGCGGGAGCCGGCGAACCTGGCGCCTCGCCTCAGGAAAAGATAAACGCTCCCGGTGCTTCAAGTTGAGGACGGCTGCCTCAAGCTTGTAATGGACACACGCACGGGAGAAGGTAGGATGGGCCTCACCGCAGTTGAGGCAACGAGCCTGGGGAGAAGCGCACTCCGACTTAGAGTGACCTTCGCCACCACACAAAGGACAGAGAGAGACAGTCCCGGAGCAGCGGAGGGCACCATGCCCAAACCTCCAGCACTTGTTGCAGAGCCGAGGAGAAGGAATGTACTCCTGGACAGAGCACCTGGCACCAGCAAGAATGACAGAGGGTGGAAGGGTCCTACCATCAAAGGTAATCTTCACAACCCGGAGGGGTTGACGGCGACTACCACGAGGGGGACGAGTAAACGTGTCCACCTGGAGAATAGAATGGCCCTGGGCAGCGAGGATATGTCGAATATCGTCGTGGCAGTCGCGTAGGTCCCGAACACCGGTCGCAACATGGGGCGGGAGCAAAATAGTGCCAACACTGGCATTCAACTGGACGTTCTTCGAGACCCGAACGGGGGTCTCGCCAAGGCAGGATAAGGCAGCCAAGCGGGAAGCAGCATCCTGAGAAGGAGCAGCAACGACACGCGTACCGAGACGAGTGGGGTTAAAAGTAATGGAGGCATCCACGGAATCAATGAGATGTCGATGAAGGGAGAAATCGTCAGGAGGCGCAGAATCAAGAGGGAGGAGATCAAAATATTTGGCCCACGAAGCGGGACCAAACAAGGCTTGATAGGTAGCAGAACTGGAAGGAATCGAGCGAGGGCGGCCGTGACGAGAACGGCGGTGAGAACCCCCAGAGAGAGAGGGGTTAAAAGGCGCAGTAGTAACAACGAGAGAAGGAGCCGCGCCAGGGGACGAGGTAGTCACCACTGGGGGCTTGGGGCTCGACCCAACCACAGAGGAGGGAGGGGAGCCAGGGGAAGGAGTCAGAGAGGCCAAAGGAGGAGCAAGGTCGGGGCCCAATGCAGCGGAGGCTACAGAGCCCGGTCTTCCAATACGGACCGACTCGGGGGCTTGGTCGCCCACCCCACGAGCCTGAGAAGGTAAACCAGAAGAAGCCGAAGCAGGGGTAATCATCTTGACGAAAGAAGAATTCACTCACGAATGTGCCCCCACACCCACCATGGAGCCACAATTAGAGGCAGGACACCCAACAAGAAGCTATCGCCGATCTTGTCGGGGCCTCCTAGGGGTGCGTCGTGAGTATACGCCCCACAAACGCCACCTTAAGAAACCGACAGTCCGTCGAGATCGGGTTCAGTGACGAAGTGGGGATTGACAATAAAAGGTTCCCCTCGCTCTCGACGTCGGGTACTGCAGTTCTACGGGTGCAAGAGTATGCCTCCTCAAGCACCCGGGCGTCAAAATAGAAGAAGTCCAAGGGAAGAACCAGAACGAGCAAAAGGTCGGCAGGAAACGGCAAGCAGATAGGAGAAGAGGGGGGAGAAAAACGAAACAGAAGGAAAAGGAAAAGATGCCCAGCAGAATTGGAGAGGACGGCAGCAGGAGCACAAGGCTAGAAAAGGACAGGACTGTCCCAAGGAGCATCACACTCCGGCAGCCGCCCACCAAGCCCCCACACGGCGACAACGAGCTGAGCGGGGAGGGGGATCAGGTCTTCTCTTTTTCAATCAATTTGAGGTTAAATTCTCATATCTCATGTTTCAGTTATGGGACCAGCTTTGTCGTACACCATTGAAGCTCTCAATTTTCTTTGTGCCGAATGAGGTGTGTTTGAGCATAAACAAACGCTTGTACTATAAAGCTCGGTAATTTCACATAGCCTTGTATTTTACTTATTTAGTAAAGTATACTTATATTTATAATATAACTTATGTTGTGTTAAATTAAATGCTTTCCCAGAATTTGGCTCATGATCTTCAAAGTCTCAGTAACAAAAATAAAAAGGATTTTATACACTTGGCTTCCAAGAGAAAAATAATTAATTACATATTACACTAACTAAAAATCTGTATAGGATATTTTCCCTTTGAATAGTTTCTAATCAAATTTCCTTGTCAATTTGTTTAAATTGGCAAAAGATGCCAAAAACGTTGATTTAAGCACAATTTCTCTTTGGGGTGCCACTATGGAAGGGTTCTGGAGTGCCAGTAAATTATCTACATACACTGACAATATTTAGAATTATAATTCATTAATTTTCACATCTTAAACTACAAATTTTGTCATTTTGTTGTGCATATCTGAAAAATTCTATACAACATACATGCTACAGACAAAGATTTCATAGCATTAATTTAGGTGCACCCTAATTTTAATGACAAAACTAAAATGGTCCACATGATATTGCCACACATTAACTTAGGTCTGTGTGAATAATATGGTGTTTGTGACTTGGTTCACCACCATTGAATGATGCCAAGCTATCAGATAAAAATCTATGCAAATATCCTGTCATTACTAATTTTAGTCATTTTAAAATTGAGAAAAGTAATTATAATTCATGCAACACCTTCTATCTAATTTCCTAAAATGTTAAAAGAATCTGGTGTAAAATATGTTTTGTGCTGCAATATTGGTGGTTCCTTGGGAAGGCTGCCATACATTTCTTGTATAATGTGTCTTGAATGACTTCATGTTATATAATGTTAAATATGCCTTTCGCATATTGTACGATACTGTAGTAGTATTTATCATAATGAAATAAAAATACCATACCATAATATGAAAACCCTAAAAAGTCACAGCTTGTAAGCAAAAACAGTTGTCCAGTATTTTGTCCTACCTTGTGAGATGATTTTCCAGTTCATTTCCCATTAAAGTTCAAGATGTTCTAATTTAGTGTAAATAATATTTTAACCCTTTCTCATATGAAATAACGACAAGTTTTTGCAGTGCTTGGACGGAATACATCGTTTGCTGATTGAAGTAAAGGGTCTCATTTCTTCTTCAGATTCTTACAAACCCAATCTAATCCATCCTGTAAAAGAACAATTAGTTATTTAAATGAATATTAATATAGCCAGATACAGTATACACTTTAATATAACAAAACACAAAATCTGAATAACTTTACTTGTCACTTGTTTGTTTTCAGTTTCAACAAAATAATAACACATACATACATGTAATATAACATACTGTATAGGCAATATAATAGTAAATTTCTAGTTGCTTTGACATGTTTCTCCTTCCAAATATGACACTGTATACCACATGATTAAGACATTTTTAATTTCATTCACATATGCAAGTTTTTGAATAAAGAAACAAGGTGAGAAACCACCACACTAGCACAACCACCATTCCAATACATTAACCATTTAAAACAAAAGTCAAGTGCTGTGCTGTACACTTTAGAAATGTAAAAGTATATTACATATTGTTTCACTTCCCCCCTTCATGCAAACTGCTAATAGTCTTGGCCACTTCCTCTTCCTATCATCACACTTACTCATCTACACTTTATACCTCTCGTCTTATTCATTTAGTTCAAAAGACAATACAGTGTACTATAATTATCCAAAAGAAGTATACTATGTTTCCACAGTACCAATTTCAAATATACAAATTTCCCACCTCCTTCCTGTGCTTCATCACCTTATCGATTACACATAATTGCATTTTGTTTATTCAATAATGATTAAAATATCTAAAAAAAAAAAAAAAAAAAAAATTTACCATTTTACTTTACTCTCTTGTTTATTTTATCATATAACAAAGCATGTGGAATTCTTAAGCCAATTTTCAAATCTTCCTTTGAGTCTTCACCTTGAAGTCATATTAAGACATCTGGGAAGGATTTTAAATGGGGCCAATCCATCAAGAAACAGAAATGGAAGCTCTTACTGGACACAGGGCATAACAGACATAAGTAGCAGTAGAAACTATTATAGCTGGCTATGGTTTGGCAATAATCATATTAAATATTGAATTATGTTTATTTTAACGTTTGAGAAAACCCAGATGTAATAGAAGAAATATTTATTTATGTTAGGGTAAGAACAAACTCTAAATCAACACCTAACTTTGACAATGCACTGTAATTTAATTTCTTTAAATTGCCACTATTACATGTACTGTACTACAAATATAATGCTTACTTTAACACCCTCTCCTGATGTTGCTGAGCAGGCCTGTATCTGCCACGTACGATCTCGAATGGTATGGAGCTGAAGACCTTCTGCTATCTCCGAGGCTGGTGCTGCATTAAACAGATCTTGTTTGTTGGCAAAAATTAAGACAGGTACACCTACAGAGAGAAAAAAGAAGTTTGTGAAATATCCTTTTGTACCTAGAGAAATTCACAAGCACAATAATGATAACTGTACAAGGGCTCTACTTGTTTTGCCTGAAAACAACAACTTCGGGCAATCAGTTGCTGACACTGAATCAATCACCAATGTGATTTTTAATATTCCAGTTTTAAAGCTTTCATACCATTACTGAATTTATGAGTGGACCATTCTGAGAACTGTCCTTTAAATGTTTAATGTGAGGAAACCGAGAAAAACCTGAATGATATTAATTGCAAGTCATATGTAAAATGCATTTAATAAATAACAATAATAATAATAATAATAAATAATAATTTAGGATTTAGATTTACTTGAGTTTCCATTCTTTCATAAAACTGGCACATGCTCTACCATCTTGAAATAAATACAACATATAAAAAGCTACATTTTATACTGCAAAATAGCAATGATCATGAGTTCCAGTAAAGATACAATATGACTTGAACTAAGACTTCAAACTCTGAACAGAGCCTTATGTTGAAACAGACATGGACAATCAAAAAGTTACATAATAATAATAATAGGCTTTTTCAGCAAATGACACCCCCTAACAGTAAGAGCTTAACTAATATGCAGGGATCCACAAGAATCACCAAAATCATTACAAGGCCTGATGTAAGAGGATTAAACAAATCAACCAAATATTTGGGTTACTAAACTTGCTACTCTTGAATACCATTACAGCTATCACAATTTAAACTCAATCCTTGTCTTGACAGGGAGCCAGTATCGTTCATACAAAAAAGTGAGAGGAATTCCCACTGGAAGTAAAAATACTAGTCTAGCTTCTCGATTCAGTATTGACTCGACACTTTGGCAGGCCCGGCGGGATACCCACATCACACTGAAAAATAGGCCAGGCATTGGCCGTGAGCACACAATCCAACGTTAAACTCTTTCACTAACTTTATACTTACTAATAAGAATGAGCAAAAATTAATTGTCGACAGCGTTGACGTCAAGTCCCGAACTGCGTGTATTGTTCTAATGACTACGTGAACATCATCATGACACCAAAGTATTTGAAGTCTTTAATAAGCATGTACTGTACTGTACTGTAATTTTGCAAACCCGCAATTATGAGATATAAAAAAATAATTCTAGGGGAAACAAAATAAATGGATGAGGACTATGATACTCTCCTATTAAGAAATTTTCTAAAGGCATAAAGATTACAAATACAAAAATTGCAGCCTTTAACAATCTGATTTGTGCCCCCTAAAAATGATAAAGAAATCCAGTAAACATCCATATCCTTAACCATAATGACAGGTCACAATCTAGCATTACCAAATCAGAAGTACCAAAACTGACAATGTGCAACCAACTAAGATTACCTTAATCAAAATATTTGTATAATCTACATTAATTTCAATTTTCAAGCAGTTATCAAAATACAAACACAAATAAAAAAAAAGTATTGAATACAATGAAACACCAATGGTATGGAATATAATGCCTTCAAGGAGCCCCGGTGGCTCCCTGAAGGTAACATACTGATTTTGTGCCAGACTACAAGGTGCTATCACTCGTGGAGAATGCAGTGGCACCCTCCAAATCCAGATCTCCCTATATCAGATCCCTATAAACAATGGACAAAATTCAGCCACGAGACCTTCCATCCAGATTCCAAATTATTAGGCAAATTTCCTGCAGATATCTTTTCAAATTTTTAGGTATTATTATGTTCTTTAATTGTTCAGTAGATTTCAAAATTTAGGTCACCAAAAATGTAATTTTGAAAATGTTATGAAATCACATCCTTAATTTATCACAAGTAACCAAGATACAGTATTTCAAAGAAAATACTGTTAGAGAGAAAATTTTGGGTGTGGTAAACTAGATGGGACTGGTTCATTCTAAGTCATGGACCTCCCTTAGATAAATAAGGTTCAAGGGGGCTGGATCCTGAGAATTACTTGCAATGAGAGACAAACATCTTAACACTTTCGCCCGGGCATGATGCAGCATTGCGTCATCCGTTTACTGTCGGTAATGCCGGGGATGACGCAGCACTACGTCATCCACTTTAAATAATCGCCAAAAATCAGGTTTTTATCCGATATTTTTGGGACTGGTTTTAAAATGAGTGCCGATGTCTTCCCATTTTCCTTGTTGCACCTTGTGGCCCGCAGGCAGCTCGGCACACGCCGTCGGCCCATTGTTTTCGCTCCACTGTTGTGACCAATGTCGCCTCCCCCTCGCATCTCAAACGTGTGAACATTTCGGCTATTTTCCGTGGCTATATTTCTTACTGCGGCTTTAGAAACTATCTACGCTTACTCCACGATGGATAGTGATCATGAACAAGGCCCTTCCAGGAAGAAAATTGCGAAAGAAAGGCTTGAAAAGGGCGGGAATTGGGAATGTAGCTGGAAGGCGTCTGAGCGCTCACTCGCGACTAACGCGTGGCCCGTCTTCAACTTGTCGGCAGTTGGAGCGTGACCAGGTTTTTTATTTTATATGCAAATGTTCCTCTAGAGAATTCTATTGCGAACCCATTGAGACCAAAATGAAAGACCTAGGACGAAAATTGAGGTGACCAGAGTGAAAATAGTGAAAACATTTTATTGCGTTTGCGCGCTCCTGCGTAACTCGTTCGCACTTTCTCTGTTTGCTGCGGGTAATTAGCCGGGCTTTTGGAATTTATATGCATTTAGTGCTGTATAGAATTCTATTGCGAACACAATGATACCAAATTTAATCTCGTAGGACGAGAATTAAGGTGACAAAGTTGAAGAGAGTATACACTTTTCAGAATTTACGCGCGCTCCCGCGACACCCTGGGACCCAAATCGCACAGTTGAGGGGTGGCGCGCGGGGTACGCCAAAGTGTTAAAGCGCTTTCTTTAGAAAGCTCTCTTAAAGATTCTCCCGATGGTTGTCCTTTATATGATAGAATAAAATAATTTTGCACAGTGAAATTTTCCCATAAATGTGGGGCAAACTAGGGTATGAATGCTTACTCCTTTAACCCTTAAACCGCGCATATTGAGGGGCCCGGAAGCGAAAAATATTTGAATTATGTAAAAAAAAATCTAAAAAAATGTTAAATAAATCTCCAACCTATTGGCTTCAGTGTCATGAAACTTTCATAAAAATATTTTCAGAAATTATTCTTAGACGAGTTTTAAAAAATAAGAACGTTTTGTTGATAAGGAAAACAGCTCCTATTAACTGGAACTGAGGAATAAAAGCACCTGTCTGATGCTCAAAGAAAAGGAATAGTAGTAAGTGTCCACAAAATGGATATGCAGTTGGTGCCTTTATAGAATTGCCGAGTAATACATAATAGCACAAATAATAATGAGTAACTATTTTATTATGTCCTATCTTGTTATATATGATATAAATTACATTGTCCAATGTTAATATATGTTACTTTCATCAATGTCCCTAAAATATTTTTTTTAGGGGATTTTTTTTTTAAGATTTTAGTCTTTCTTCTCCATTGTTTATTACCTGATTTTGTTGTAACCTTTACATCCTGGAGAGTGCATATGTTTCCCTAACTATGTGAAGATAGAATGAAATTGGTCAAGAAATAAATCAGTCAACTCTCAGAACTTGGGACTTTTTTTTTGGCTGATTTTTTCTCAGATTTCAAACTATTTTACACACAGAAATCACAATTGCGTGATGCATCAAATGAGGAAATCCACAAGGGCCGTGACGAGGATTCGAACCTGCATCCGAGAGCATCCCAGACGCTGCCTTAATCGACTGAGCTATGACATTGTCAGAAGGACCATGATTTGTGCCTCGGAGAGGCTACAGGATCCAGTAAGTTCAGTAGAACTTTGGTTTCAACTCCTTTTGACCATGTTGTAGCTCAGTCGATAAAGGCAGCGTCTGGGATGCTCTCGGATGCAGGTTCGAATCCTCATCACGGCCCTTGTGGATTTGTTCAAACTATTTTCTTTGTCTTTTTAGGTTGTTTTGATGATTAGGGACCATATTAGTGTTTTTTCACTTATATAAAGTATACCCTAAATATATCCTCTAAATCATTTGAATTATTATAATTATCCCTATATTTTGTGTTCTTTTTGGGGGGGTTATTTTTCTTTATTTCATTTCAACACACATTAACCTACAACTTTCACATATTCGAGTACGAATGCCAAACAATGTTTATTAAAACATTCTATTAAATTAACAAATTTAAACTACATTTATTCATTGTTGATAACTTCAACTTCAATTATCTCTGAAACTAGAGTTTGAACTTTGAGTGGCTTATAAAATTCCAGGTTTTCACCAATTCTCATTATTTTGACATTGCGTGCTCAGCTGTTTGTTCTACAATCCCTTCAGAATGGATTTTTCCATAAATTTTATACAATTGGAGTCATTTTTTTTTTTGTCTAAATTTGCCGCATATTTCAAACGCCATATTACCGATTTTTTTTTTACAGTAAACTATACTGAAAACCTATATTCTAATTTAAGGAAAATGAAGATCATATGCTATTCTGAGAGAATACCACCACCAATTGAACAATTGCAATAGTTCATATTTTGTATTTCGATTTGAAAATCAAACGTTTTCAATATTCAATTTTAAAATTAATTTTGATTCTCTTGTTTTTTCAAGTTACGTTGTGATCATTTAGACATAGTTGGAGCATTTGCCTAGTTGATTATGCACAAAAAATTGGAGTGTTTGTGCAAGTTTTAAAAACTTGAGTTATGTCAAATCGTATATGTATGGTCTAAGGGTTAATACAGCTCAAATTATGTTTCTAACTTTTTTATACTTAATGTACCATTAGGAGACAGTTTGATGCCTTGGAAAAGCTACTGAGCATATTTTATTATGAAGTTTTAAGGTTTCTTTGGTAAAAACAAAGCTGGGTGAACCCGTACATATATAAACAAACTCCAAAAACCGAGGCAAACAAGTGTCGAATCAAATTTTTCGAAGAAATTGAGTACAAGAACCGAGAAATATGAAAACGGGCATACGAAAACTGAGGTTCCACTGTATTAGAAAATTCTATGTAAAGCAAATAATCTCTACATTATTCCACAATCTTTACACCAATTTATACTTGTACATATAATATGTGGCTAATTAAAAAATTAAAACTAATAATCACCAACATAGATTCATACCTGCAAGTTTCTCTTCACTGAGAATCTCGCCTAGTTCTTGACCAGTCTCATCAAATCTTTTTCTATCACCGCTATCAATGACATAAATCTGAAAGTGGAAACACAGCAATGACATATATAACATCACATAAATCTGAAAGTGGAAACAACAATAATAATGCATATAACATCAATGTAATAAATCTGAAACATAACAGATTTACAATAGAGCAGATCAGAGTTACTGTAATGTCCTCAATAAAATTCTTAATACTATATCACACTAAATGGCCTTGGAAACCCTAGGATGTTGGGGATTAAACCGAGAGCGCATTCTCACTATTCACAATGGTGATTTACATTTCAGGTTACAAAGAAAAAGTAGTGCTACTTGGTGGCACACTATACCGTCTGCTTCCAAAACATCCATTAAATTTGTTATTTACTCATTCTTTCTTTCTGCTGAGCCACTTTTTTTCCTGCTTTATTAATTCCACTTTAGTACTTGTATATGCTTCCTGACAATCTACATTGTACACAAATATAACAGAACCATAGTAAGAGCTCATTTTCTTAAAGCAGACTGCAAACATCTGTAGTGTTCCGGTGCCCTCTCTCCCATATGCCGGATTTAAGAGTCATATCAGCTTACCATGGAGGTTTCCTGAGATTCAGGGAACCTTTTGATGTATGAAGTTACCAAAATGGGTACTTATTTGTGGAGAAATTTGCATTTATGTGATTGTAGGAAAGGGGGGAAAGTCGCACCCTAGGTACAACAAAATGGCGCCCTCGTACCTTCAAATCTGCCATTTTGTGTGCAACGCCAGACAGCTGGCGATTGGCTGGCTCAGGTCATATGATGCGATTGACCAATCAGAGCCCGACCCTGGGTCTGTGACATCACCGGGAGGCCTGGTTCATCGCCTGCAGAGCACCAGGCGCTCAGAGATCTGCGACGCCTCATTGAGAGTGGACGTGCGCTGGTTGAGCTCTCGAGTTCCGAGGTCTAGGAGCCTCATTCACTGGGATTACACAGCCTGACAAGTTTATAGTGACTACTAAGGACTGCAGTGCTTTAGGGAAGTGCGAGGAGCCGAGTTCCAGCGTTATAAGAGCGCCGAGAGCTGATAGTCTTGGAAGGATCGAGGGAGTGTCTGTGGCAGGAGCAAGATGTCTCGCCGTCAGTGGAACTCCAAGGTGTGCAGAGCTGTTGTGATTGGATCACGCCCACTGGGAACTCGGAAGGAAGAAGACGCATCCTGACCCATGAGTGAGTGATCTTGGTGAAGGAGTGCCTGGGGGAAATGACGTATGCAGTGACGACTGGACGAGGCAGCGCCCCGTACTTCACTAAGGGAACAGATGAGGAGAGTCCTCATCTGTTCAGAGATGAGGAAAGTCCTCACGGCGCCTATGGACTGATGACTCATCTGGAACGTCAAGAAACGACTAGAAGGACGGAGGAACCCCAGCGACCACAGGAGTCCAGGCGTCTGAAGGCAGGATATTGATAAGGTAGATAATTTTTCCCTCCCATATTTCCCTTGATGTTAGGCAAGACAGGCGTACAGTATTGTTATATCTAGGGATTTACTAGTGTGTTTCTAGGAGTCTAGGAGTCATAGTATTAGGTTGTGGGACAGCACATATATGTTATCTACTGCCTGGGGAAGACAGCGAGTGGTTTGAGTGGCTGACCTGTGGAGGAGTGTGGACCTACACTGACGGAGCCGCCCCCTTTCAGTGAGAGGCCAGTGGTCCATTTAACACTTTCGCTCACCCCGCGCGCCACCCCTCGACAGGGCGATATGGGCCCCAGCGTGTCACAGAAGCGCGCGTTAATTCCGAAAAGTGTATACTCTCTTCAACTTTGTCACCTCAATTCTCCTTCTACGAGAATAAATTTGGTATCATTGTGTTCGCAATAAAATTCTCTACAGCACTAAATGCATATAAACTCCAAAAGCCCGGCTAATTACCCGCAGCAAACAGAGAAAGTGCGAACGAGTTACCCGGGAGCGCGCAAACGGGATAAAATGTTTTCACTATTTTCACTCTGGTCACCTCAATTTTTGTCCTAGGTCTTTCATTTTGGTCTCAATGGGTTCGTAATAAAATTCTCTAGAGGAACATTAGCATATAAAAAAAAACACCTGGTCACGCTCCAACCGCCGACGAGTTGAAGACGGGCCACGCGTTAGCCGTGAGTGAGCGCTCAGAGGCCTTCCTACTACACTCCCAATTCCCACCCTTTTCAAGCCTTTCTTTCGCAATTTTCTTCCTGGAAGGGCCTTGTTCATGATTACTATCCATCGTGGAGTAAGCGTAGATAGTTTCTAAAGCCGCAGTAAGAAATATAGCCACGGAAAATAGCCGAAATGTTCACACGTTTGAGATGCGAGGGGAGACGACATTGGTCACAACAGTGGAGCAAAGACAATGGGCCCACGGCGTGTGCCAAGCCGCCTGAGGGCCACGAGGCTCAACAAAGGAAATGGGAAGACATCGGCGCACATTTTAAAACCAGTCCCCAAAAAATCGGATACAAACCTGATTTTTGGCGAATTTTTAAAGTGGATGACGCAATGCTGCGTCATCCCCGGCATTACCGCCAGTAAACGGATGACGCAATGCTGCGTCATCCCCGAGCGAAAGTGTTAAACTCGATCAGCTGATGCGAGTTGCCGGCGACCACCAGAGGAGCGCTGCTGTCACCATTATCATTCCTATACGAATATATATATATATCTCATGTGTCTGTAATTTGCTAAAGAGACCCTGGGTTGGCAACACGATACAATATTTGAATGCTGGTACTGGCATTACACAGAAGGAGACCCCCGAGTTGGTAACACGATATTATATATGGTTTCTAGTGCTGGCATTACACTATATAGAACGAGGCTCTGGGCTGTAGATACGATATCATAGTTGAACCCATTGCGTTGCTGGGACGCAGAGAAAATTACCCAGCTGGCGACCGGAAAGGAAGAGGTGGAATTGAGGTTACGGCCGAGAGTCTGGCAAAATTTTGCCACGCACAGCTGGGCAGGCCTGGTGGGGGAGTCACACATTACAAGATTGAGCTTAAGCAGTGTGTGCTGGGCCTTCTCTCCCCCTTCGGTCCAAGGTCAAATAGTGGTGACCAGTCTTGAGGCATGACTTGGAGAGCTCCCTGGGGGTGGTATATGATACCCTAGTGGAGGGAGCAAAGACCCACTGCGTGGGGTTACACGATCAGTAGCATGATGGCCCGCTGTTTAACTGTAACCTCACGTAACACAAAGCCAAGGTGAGTGACGCGTGACAGTAGCAACTGCAATAAAGTAAATAAAGTTTTGAGCATAAAACATATGCTACAAGCAACAGCATCATCAAATCTATAACTAAGAGCAAGTTCACCACAACAAGGTTTACGCTGTACCATGAAGTTGTGACAAAGGAATAAACCTGTTCTCCTATAGGAACAGGTATAGGAGAATCTTGTATGCAAGGATATACTAATGTAAGAATGTCTGAAGCCAACAATTCTTGTCACACACTGAATCATGAGCAGCACCTTATGAACTTTTGGGATGTTAAGCTGATCATCTAAGAAGAATCATCATCAGAAAACAGAAGACAATGGAAGAAATCTGCAACCATCAAACACTACAACTCTTAATCATGGGCGATTTCCACCATGGAAAAATAGACTGGGAGAATGGAGACCCACACGATGGTGCAGATAGATGGAGAGCTAAACTCTTGGAAGTGGCAACAAGGAACTTTCTGAGCCAGCACGTTAGGGAACCCACAAGAATGAGAGACAATGACAAACCAGCTAGACTCTACCTGATATTCACCCTGAATGAGTCAGAAATAAGGGATGTCAAGTTGAAGCCCCCATAGGAATGAGTGACCACAGTGTACTGACATTTGAGTACTTGGTGGAGGTAGGGATAACCTATCCAAGGATGGGATTGGAAGAGAAAACACTAAATTACCAAAGAGGAAAATATGACGAGACAAGGAACTTCCTAAGGGGAATACCATGGGAAATAGAACTTAAGAGACAAGACTATACAGGATATGATGGATTATGTCACCCAGAAGTGCCAGGAAGCTGCAGACAGGTTTATCCTGGTCCAAAAGGAGAAAAACAAAAAGCAACAGAAGAATCCATGGTTCAACCAGAAATGTAAGGTAGCGAAGCAACTAAGTAAAAGAACATGGAGAAACTACAGATATAACAGAACACCAGAGAGCAGGAAGAGATGCCAGAGGGCCAGAAATGAGTACCTCAGAGTGAGGAGGGAAGCAGAGAGAGAGTATGAAAATTACATCGCGAGTAAAGCCAAGACCCAACCACAACTGCTCCATAGCCACATCAGGAGGAAAACAGGAGTGAGGGAACAGGTGATGAAACTGAGAAAAGGGAAGAACAGATACACACAACAATGACAAGGCAGTGTGTGAAGAACTCAACAAGAGATTCCAGGAGGTCTTCACAAAAGAACAAGGAGAAGCCCCTGCACTAAATGAGGAGGCAAACCATGCAACCTTGGAGGATTTTGACCTCACCAGTGATGAGGTCAAAAGTAATCTGTTGGAGCTGAATGTGACAAAGGCTGTTGAGCCTGACAGAATCTCACTAAGGATACTAAAGGAAGGTGCAGAAGCACTAAGTGTGCCACTCTCTATGGTGTATAACAGGTCACTGAAAACAGGAGACCTTCCGGAAAGTTGGAAGACAGCTAACGTAGTCCCAATATACAAGAAGGGTGACAGGCAAGAGGCACTGAACTACAGACCAGTTTCCCTAACTTGTATATCATGCAAGGTGATGGAGAAGATCGTGAGGAAAAGGCTCGTAGAGCATCTGGAGGGAAATAGCTTTGTAACACACCACCAACATGGGTTTAGAAATGGTAAATCGTGCCTCACAGGTTTAATAGAATTCTATGACCAGGCAACAAAAATTAGGCAAGAAAGAGAAGGGGTAAGCAGACTGCATTTTCTTGGACTGCCAGAAAGCTTTTGACACAGTTCCCCATAAAAGGCTGTTATAAAAGTTGAAGCAACAGACAGGAGTAAAAGGGAAGGTGCTCCAGTGGATAAGGGAATATTTAAGCAACAGGAAACAGCGAGTAATGTGAGGGGAGGGGGGGGAATCGGAGTGGCGAGATGTCACCAGCGGAATTCCACAGGGCTTAGTACTTGGACCCATCCTGTTTCCGATATATGTAAACGATCTTCCGGAGGATATAGACTCATTCCTCTCAATGTTTGCTGATGATGCAAAAATTATGAGAAGAATCAAGACAGATGAAGATAGACAGGGACAACAGGATGACCTGGACAAACTGGAGGAATGGTCTAGAAAATGGCTGCTAAAGTTCAACTCAGGAGAGTATAAAGTATTGAAATTAGGCGAAGGGAGCAGAAGGATGAACACAAGGTACCATCTGAGACGTGAAATCCTGCAAGAGTCAAACATCGAGAAAGATCTGGGGGTTGATATCACATCGAACCTGTCCCCAGAGGCCCACATCAAAAAGATATCAGCGGCATATGATAGGTTGGCCAACATAAGAACTGCCTTTAGAAACTTGTGTAAGGAATCGTTCAGAACCCTGTATACCACTTATGTCAGACCAATCCTGGAATATGCAGCTCCAGCCTGGAGTCCATACCTAGTTAAACATAAGACAAAGTTAGAGAAGATTCAGCGGTATGCCACCAGACTCTCTTCGGAACTGAGAGAAATGAGCTACGAGGAAAGGCTAAAGGAGGTGAACCTCACGTCCCTGGAAAACAGAGGAGTAAGGGGAGACATGATAACCACCTACAAAATTATCAGGGGAATTGACAGGGTAGACAACGACAAAATCTTCAGCATGGGTGGAACACGAACAAAGGGGCACGGGTGGAAACTTAGTACCCAGATGAGCCACAGAGACGTTAGAAAGAATTCTTTCAGTGTCAGTAGTTAATAGATTTAATGCACTAGGAAGTGATGTGGTGGAGGCTGACTTCATACACAGTTTCAAATATAAGTATGATAGAGCCCAGTAGGCTCATGAATCTGTACACCAGTTGATTGACAGTTGAGAGGCGGGACCAAAGAGACAAAGCTCAACCCCCGAAAGCACAACTAGGCAAGGACAACTATCAAACAAAAAGGAAAATTGTGTAGTGCTTGCTGTCGCTATCATTCTGACAATCCTTCTTAAAATCCCCCAAAATGTATTGTCTTAACCTTGTAGTTTTCACACACTTTACCAGCAATGTTAATTTAAAAACAAATTCCCTGCTAGTATGCCTTTGTGCCTTTTCTCCCAAAAACGCTGCCATAGCTGTATCTTTTAACGGTTTAAAAACTTACAAACTCTTCAATCAGCAGTTATTAATGAAGAGGCAAAAGCAGCAATCCCTACCCTACATAAGTGCATCCTATCCATTGCATACATTTCAGTACATCCGTACAAGTGTTCCTAGTTATATCATTAATAAATATCTTTTTTTTCTGTATTGCAAGAGCACAAGACATGTATAAATAAAATAACTGAAACATTGAATCATTTCACACATAACATACAACCATAAACTCTGAATTACAATAAATTACAAACAGCAAACATATCACATTACAGGTACAATACACACACGTTAAAATAAAATGCAACACTAAAAGCACTTGTATCACAGTACAGTATTGGCAATTACAATTATATGGAGTGTCTTATCTACAAACTTACAAAAGCACATTACATACATGTTACTTAGGCATGGTAAAAATGAAGATATTAAACAAAATACAGGGTACAAAACAATCAAATCTTCCTAGAGCGGGAAAGCAACATGTAAAGGATCTGGGAATAATGATGTCTGATGACCTAAAGTTTAAGTAGCATAACCAAGCAAATATAGCGTCAGCTAGAAAAATGACAGGAGGGATTACGAGAACCTTCAAATCCAGAGATCCCATCACAATGCTCATACTGTTCAAATTGCCTGTGCTGTCCTGCCTTGAGTACTGCTCCATACTCACTTCTCCCTTCAGAGCAGGAGAGATTGCTGAAATAGAGGGAATACACAGAACATATATGGCATGCATAGACACGATAAAGCACCTAAACTACTGGGATTGTTTTTAAACTCAAAATGTACTCACTAGAAAGGAGACAAGAGAGGTACCAGATATATATACATACACACACTCCACTTCCACGTACAGTACTACAAAAGGACGAGGTTCGTCTTTACCAATCAAGGGAACCCCTCCACCACACACCTTACTATCCGGCACTGGAGCACCACCAGACTCCCTCACACCTTAAACCACTTCAACAGCAGGTCATCAATGATACAACATGAGTGAGCACATCATGGTCTTCTGCCACAACCACACAAACATTTTTCCTCAGGAGACACCACCTCTATCATCATCTCCCACACTAATTTTCCTGCCGGCGAGTCCGTTCACCTCCTAAGTCAACCCGGTGGATTGACATCACGCACCAGGCAAAGCACCTCAATCGACCCCACAGGGCTGAGTATCTACCGGGACCCCATAAAAGGGTCCCGGTAGAACAGTTGTGTTCGTTCTCGACGCACAATCGAGAAATCCAGGTTCGAATCCCAGGCAGGACAGAAATGGTTGGGTACATTTCCTTTCACTTAATGGGTCTGTTAACCTAGCAGTGAGTAGATACTCAGGAGTTAGTCTGCTTCTTGTGGGGTTGCATCCTGGGAAAGGTCAGTAATTCGGCCCGGGGGGGGGGGGGGGGGGGATTTCAATAAAAGCCAAAATGTGTATGAATTCACTCCGACTTCCTGTTCCCTGACAATGAATTATCTGTGCACTGTCCAGGCAAACTGAAGAACCAGCAACAGCACCAGGGCATACCACAGTAGGGGAAGCAGCCATAAGGACACCCCCAACGTCATCAGGATGGGCCTCAATTAGTCCAGCCATATCCTCCTGCAATTTTGACAGGTTACCACTTTCACATTCCCTCCAAGAGTCTACCACACCCTGTCTCCAGTGCAGGGTGTGGTGGACTGTAGTGATAAATGTTGACACTATAGGCATAACATTCACTACGACCGGGGCCGCCCGAGCACCATTAACATCGCCACCTATGCTACACGATGCCAGTAGGGAATCCTCACCAGGAGCTTGTGTACCAGTGCCAGACACACCATCCACCACCAGGTCACTATCCAATATGTCAGCAATCTTGAGAGCACCAGTATCGCCAAGTGGGGGAAAGTCTGTCTTACGGAAGATGATTACCAAGTCTGCCGTCTCCACTTGGCAGGCAGCAACAAGACCAGGCAACCTGAAATATATCCTGGGCAGCCCAGCATAAACACAGATTATGTTTGTGTGTGATAAACATAAATGGGTGTAAAGAGTTTGAGGCATAGAATGCTATGCCCCAAACTGATACCGAGGATGGAATATTCCTCTCCATCTCCATTCTCACAGTCCAGGTGCAAGTTAATAAGTGGCCTTTTGCATGGCCAAACGTAAACTTATTCCACCGGATACCTTCAACCTTGCCAACTAGCTGAGAACACAATCAAGCGAGCACCTTGTTTGATAGTTCAAATGGTGCATCACGCAACACCATAAATGTCACTGTCTTGCTGATGTTGGTAACACACACCTCAACTACACCATGAGGCAACAACAACAAAAAAAAAAAAAAAAGACTTGTCGACCCATCTTGCCAGGAATGCCTTGAAAGCATCACATCTTGAATTTCACCATTATGCGTCCACTTCTCAGCTGTTGGACACCCAGGAGGTTATCCATAGCAACTCCGAGCTCATCAACATGCACAGTTCCCACCATAGAATAGAATCCACGTCAACTCTTGCAGAGAATTCCAGGCCTGCAGAAGCGAACCTCCTCAATGGAGAAATATAGGATCCCATGACCCTGCTCTACCTCCCTTATCAAGTAGGACACCTTAACAAATATCTAGTGCATTTACCTTGCAATATTTGTCAAGTCAGCAATTGAAACTAATTGTCACGTATGACAGAAATCCTCCTTTATTTCTGACTAATTCTATAGCCATCCTATAGTTTTGCATTAATGCCCCACTTTAATTTTATCTTCAATAATTTTCACCAGTACTAAATGCTGTACAAACATTTTATTTTAGGCATTACCAGCCATAAAACATTTCTGCTAACACTGAATAAGAATACCGTACCACAGAAGATTTTTGCATTCAAACCTACCAGTACATCAGTGTTTTCAAAATAATTTCTCCAATAGGGTCGAATCTTGCGCTGGCCACCAATGTCCCAAACATTAAGCTTAAACCCATCAGACTGGACAGACTTAATATTGAAGCCTTGTGTTGGAGTGGTTTGTGTTATATCCTCCGAGGCTAACTTCTTTAGCAACGTTGTTTTTCCTGCATTATCCAGACCAAGCAATAATATGCGCAAATCTTGATCTGGAGTTGACTTCAGTTTTCGGAGAAGAGACAGAAGACCCTGAAATTGATGAAAGGATTAACCAAATGCAAGTCATGAGATTCATCACCAGTTTATTAACTTATTGTACAATTATTCTGGCATTATCAAATGGATGAGTATATGCCAAGTCTTTACCAGCACTGCAACCGTGACAATATTTTGACAATACAGTATTAACTTCAACTCATTTATTTATTTAAACGAATAATATACAATATATATATATTTGATAATTATAAAACGTAAGTACTTGAGAATTTCTTGAAAATCCTATTATGGATAGTGCTCCAGGCATGATTAACCACTGCACAGCACACACCGTGATATCATGGGGAGTGTGCACACCCCAGCATATCACATTTGTTAGTACTGTACGTATATTCTAAGATTCAAAATTCCTGCAGGCACACGGGGCTCACATCCGATTCGTCAGGATTCTAGTAAACAGACACCATCTTAAAAGAACAAAAAATGTCTACATCCCTCCTGGCTGTGAGACCTCAATACTGCCAGAGCAACCAAGGCTGATGCATGCAGCTAGAGCTCACAGCACTGCTGTGCAGGTCGGGAGTCACAGCACCACTTAATAATGAATAAAATACTGCAATTATTTTGCAATGATAGTGTCATAAATAATCTTGACTGTGATAATGAGTATGTATAATGTTCAGATATCAGTGAACACAATGTTAGTTATAATGGTCACTGTTTGAGACGAGAGAGAGAGAGCACCTGCCAGTTTCATGCATCCACATATGAAATGACCTTATGCTCCTTTACTCTTGATATAGATATATAATATATATAGATATAATATATAGATATAATCTTGTAAAAATAGATTCATAATCAGGATTCAGTAATAGGAATACGATAATAGCAGTTCTGTGGCCAGTCTTGGCAGAATATTGAAAGCATTTTCTACATTCAGGGTGTCATCTGCTTGTATCGTGTGGCTCCATGCTGAGTTTTGATTTCATCACCACACCCACCAAAACTGTTTATAGGTTCGTTATGGTACATATAAATGTTAATACAGAAGATATGCATGTTGTTTGTATAAAGTTTAATAACAGAAAAGCTGTTTTACTGTTCAAATAATATAATATTTTAACTCAGTATGTGACATGAATACTGTGTATTTGACTACCAATATTCTACAGGTTTTGTGATACAAATAAAAATACTGACAGCCCTATGTATTATTACACTTGAAAAAACAATGGAAAAAACATTTACAATATGAAAAAAATACAAAATACTTAATGCATGCTGTTACAATGTAAACAAAATGCAGGACTAAGGTGAACTCTGATAACAGGTTATAAGTTTATTACATTCACCAGAAATGCTTAGTGGTTTGTAATGGTGTATAAAAATGTAGATAGTTATTTATAGTGTACATAGTGCAATAAGAAAAAAATAAATTTGTTTGTTCTAAAAATATAACAAGTGAGACTAAGATGCACACACCAAATTTTTGGGCATAGCAATGTTCTACACATTTATTTATATAAATATATACACACTTCTGCATTGAATATTATTATTCAGTTCATACTGTTGAATAATATTACAGCAAAAAACAAACAAAAACTATTCAGACATTGAAATAATTATATAAAATTATACTTGTATGTTTATTTATTTATATATACAAGAGTTCTTACATTCTTGTAAAGCCAATGTAACAGTGTTTCGGGCAGGTCCTTAATCCTAATTTTCCCAGAAATACAACCCACCAAATAATGACAAATAAAATAAGTACAGCGACGCCTCGATTAATGAGTTTAATTCTTTCCAGCACCAAGCTCGTCATGTGGAAACTTGTCTTGCGAAACAACAACAAAACTGTTGTCGGAGGTGTCAGAGAACCAGCGGGTACGCTCGTTAATCGAGCGAAAGCTCGTCAATCGAGACATTTTCTGCGAGTGGCTTGCTTGTCACTCGAAATGCTCGTAACTGGAGCCGCTCGTCACTCGAGGTTCCAATGTAACTGCAATTATTTTGCGATGACAGTGTCATAGATAATCTTGATTGTGATATAGAGTATGTATAACGTTCAGATATCAGTGAACACAATGTTAGTTATGAAGTTCATAGTGTGAGGCAAGAGAGACAGCACTTGCCAGTTTCATGCATCCACACTTCATGAAAAAGAGTGATCCCGGAATATGGCCCGCCAAATCGTTTAACAACCGGGTACTCATTCATTGCTGGGTGAACAGAGGCTACAGTAAAGGATTGGTGCCTGGTCAATCCTCCCCGGCCAGGATACGAACCCAGGCCAAAGTGCTCGCGAAGCGCTGGGTGAGTGTCTTACCACTGCGCCACGGGAACTTGGAGCTACTCGTAGGGCCATGGAGCTGGGGGCTACTGGCACCAGGTAAGTACTCACTCAATGCCTATAAATCACTCAACTTCACTTCTCTATCACAGCCAAAGTATGTCATGTACAATATTTTTTTATCGTTTCCCATGATTAGGGAATGCATTTTAACATTAAAAAGAAAAAAGTTTGTAAGGGGGGGGTAATTTATTTTATGTGCACAGAGGACTTGTCATATTAAACTACAGTAGTGTCCAGTGCTGTGTTTAAAGCTACCTTTTTGTACATGTGTGGTAAATTTTTAATTTTCAGTACTGGGTATGTACATACTGTAGTATGTAACTACAATTCTTGGTAAAAGGTACAGTTACTCCTCCAAAATTTAAATCATACTGTTTTGACCAACTTAATTTCTCAAGAGGGGTTGCTAAGAGGGGCTAAGTGTCCCTGTGGCTCAGTCCTTGACCAGGCCTCCTTTTTTTTACACACCCCTAGAAAGCAGCCCATAGCAGCTGTCTAACTCCCAGGTACCTATTTACTGCTAGGTGAACAGGAATATCAGGGTGAAGGTGAACAGGAATATCAGGGTGAAAGAAACTCTGCCCATTTGTTTCCGTTTCCACCGGGGATCGAACCTGGAACCTTAGAACTATGAATCCCAAGTGCTATTCACTCGGCCATCAGGCCCCGTCGGAGAATGGGGCCTCGACTTACGATGGTAATCCGTTCCCAGAGACGGATCGTAAGTCGAAATATCGTAAGTCGAAGCGATTTTTCCCATAAGAAATAAAGGGAATTGAATTAATCCGTTCCCCACCCTCCAAAATATTAACTTACAAATACATTTTATACTGAATACAATTTTGTTCTCTAACTACAATACAGTACAAATGTTTATCTTACCTTTATGGAGGACTCTTGATGGCGTATGGAAGATGGTGAGGAGGGGGGAGGAGAGGTGTTACTGTTTGGAAGGGGAGTCCCCTTCCATTATAACATCAGGCAGTGATGACTTTTCTGGGATACACTCTCTGGCATGTTTTGCCTGCACACCACTAGGACCTGCTTGTGGCTCACTGCTTGCTTGTCTTACTAAGAATCTGTCTAAAAACACTTGTTTTTCCCTACATTTTAACACTTGTCTGTAATAAGACATCACATTGTCATTTAAAAGGTCAATGCAATGGCCTGCTACAGCTTTATCTGGGTGAGTTTTTTCAACAAAACTTTGCAGTTCTTCCCATACTTCACACATTTTCTTAATGAGGAAGGGATATCCTCTACTGCCTCAACTCACAACTATTTTCTTAGGTTGAACCTTACCACTGACTTTCTGGGACCCATGGCGTGATATATAATAATCAGTTTTATGTTCAAAAAGCAAAAAATCACCACAAAAACGGAATTTCTTATAGGCGTGATTGTCACTAAGCGGGCAGATCTAGTAAACTGAGGCAGGTTGGCCCGCGTGACCGGGAACCATGCGCTCGGTCGACCCAAACATGTACCAACAAATATCGTTAGTTGACGACTATCGTAAGTCGAGTCGCATTTTTCGATGAAATTTACATCGTAACTCGAAATTATCGTAAGTCGGGGCAATCGTAAGTCGAGGTGCCACTGTACGGAATGGAATGTGAGTAAATGCCATGTTATGGAATGTGGAATAGGAGAACATAGACCCCACATAACCTATAAATTATGTGAGAAATCTTAAAAAAATTCTGATAAAGAGATCTAGGGGTGGTTTTAGATAGAAAACCATTACCTGAGGACCACAAAGAACTTTGTGCAAGGAGCCTATGCTACACTTTCTAATTTTGGAATTGCTTTTAAATACATGGATGGTGAAATACTACAGAAATTGTTCACAACTTTTGTTAGACCAAAGCACATATATGTGTTTGTTAGCACATCAACAAACTGAAAAAGGTGCAAAGACATGCAATTAAATGGCTCCCAGAACTGAAAGACGAGCTACAAGGCGAGGTTAGAGATATTAAATATGCCAAAACTAGAAGATAGAAGAAAAAGAGGCGATAAGATTACTATGTACAAAATAGTAACCGGAATCGATAAAATTGATTGGGCAGAATTCCTGAGACTAGGAACTTCAAAAACAAGAGGTCATATATTATAAACTAACTAAACAAAGCTGCCAAAGAAATATAAGAAAATTTACTTTTGCAAACGGAGCGGTATATGCTTGAAACAAGTTAGGTGAGAAAGTGGTGGAGGCCAAAACCATCAACACAGTAGTTTCAAAACGTTATACGACAGAGTGCTGGGAAGACAGGACACTATGAGCATAGCTTTCATCCTGTAACTATTGTACACTTAGATAATTACTTTGATAATTACAGTAACTGTAATCTGTAAATTAACTATACACTTCTGTTCACCCAACAGTGAATTGATACCTGGTTGTTAACCAATTTGGTAGGTCATATTTCAGGAAAAATTAAAAATTAAAGACCTGCCCAAAATGCTATGCGTGTTAGTGGCTTTACAAGAATGTATGAATTATTTTTAAAGAATTATATATTACAAATCTGTACAGTAATTTTAATAGGAAATAAAATATAAACATTAAATTATGATTGTGTTCAGCTGAGGAAATACTGCCACCAATTAATTTTTATTATCGAGAATACAGACTACTCCCTCTCTTCATATTTTAGATTTTTTACAATCGAATATTTACATTTTTTGTAGGTATTGAAGTAACTGACTACTAGTGTTTATTTAATGACACAGTTTTGTTTTATTAAGAAGGTGCACGCTTCTACAATGCAGACTGCATTGTAGAAGCATCCAAAACCTGTGCTGGCATTTAAATTATGAGATCTGCATCACTTGCACATTGTATGTAAAACACAAAATTGCATATATTTTTATTGGGTTAGGTCTGTTCAAAGGATAGTGATAACAGAGTCAATCTAAACTTTCTGCACAAAACTGGTACAAAACTAAAATTGTGCATAAAAATTCAGCTAGCAACAGTCCTTAGCTTAGAATTTCACTAAGCATTCACACCAAGTCTCAGGATGCACAGAAATGAACACAAACAAAGCCAGAAAAGATCAACAATTCAACATAATTGAAAATGTGGTGACAATTCCTAGGCAACCACACCAAACAAGTCAATAGCCATGTACAACCAGTGTGTGCCCAGACAAACACAGTCTAAAGTTACCTCACATAGTAACACACCTCCTAGCACACCAAAGTGTGGCCATCACTATTCCACTTACCATTTTTGTTACTGCCACTTAGTATATGTGCAACTCCGGGATATATTCTGGAGGAGCCCCACGTCCCTCCCGGCGGCCTCTCCTGTCAACAATTCCCAATATTACCACACACCACAACCTACAACACCCCCAACAGTGTCTAAATATTTCACATATTTACTTAATACGTATGCTTTAATTCTATCTCTAAATTATTTTAGTTTAATAATATGATACTTGTATGCGTTTTATATAAAAAAGTAGATTATATTCACAAAATGAAATACACATTTTTATTAAGGCTTTGGCAACACTTTTTGACGTCACAAATATTTGACAATCAATATATGTTTAATTTAGTAGACTGTAAATATTTTGTGATCTAGATTTCTTATTAATGCAATCTTCGTTCAAATAATAAACAATAAAGCTAATTATTTATATTAATTATATTTCATTTAACATTGAATGTAAGTCTACTACTTACTGACTTTCTCCCCTGATTCCATGTATGACCATCCTGTGAGATGGGAATATTAGATGAACTTACAGCTAGTTTTTTTTATCTACACTGTAATCTTTCATATAGAATATGGTAACAGCATATTGCTGTGTATATCTAAGCTTGTTAATAAAAAAAAGTTAATAAAATAAATTTCGGTGTAAGGTAGTTTAGTTAGCAAGGTAAGTTATGTAAATTTATGATTTCAGCAAAACTGTACAGCATGGTTGACGGCGCCAGCCTTGCATCTGCTTGTAAGGTTCCTTCCTGCCACATGTGAGTCTCGTCCGGTATCCGTCTGCTAAGCGGAGATTTCGCTCATGCCATCCAAATAAGGGCAAATGCTGTAGCCACTGCGATGCCTGCCGGAGACCAGGGACCCTGGGCCACATATCCCAGGCCTGCTATAAGACGCATGGGGCACGGGTCAAACGCCATGACGATATCACTTGGTTCGTGGCTGGCCGCCTGCGGCAAAGGTATTGTAGTGGAGAGGGACCTTCTGTAAGTCTGACATTGCTTACTAAGGTGACGAGGCCTTCACATTGGACACCTAGGTCTCTGTTGATAACTTCCCACTCTCCTGTCCACATCAGAGCAAGTGTGACATATGAGCACAGCATCCGCCTCTTCTATAACCGTTAATTAGAGGGGGAGGAAGGAGAGTGCGCATGGATATTGGCATCACCAAGAGCGACCTTGAGAATTGCTTTGTGAAAGCTTTAACCTGCACATATTCCCTCTACATAATATGGTCCAAATCTACACCAAGGGGCAGACCACCTTAATCCCAGGATCACCATGCAATAGGTGCATAAGGGTTAATAGTCTTGCTGAGGCGAACCACAGCTAGGATAGCTGGTAGCTAACTACCTATTGGCAGAGTCGTCATCTAGAGTACCAATTCTTCAAATGGTTTCTCACAAAAGGGTGGATGACCTAGCTGGAGCCCACGAGTGGGTATGGCGGCGGCCGGAGGGACCTCTTGTGAATACCTGACAACCCACCCGCTCCGGGGCCTTGCAAGGAGCTTCCGCTTTGAATTGTTTTCCATTTATTCTGCTGTCAAGTCACCATACCTGCCGCTTAGGCAGCATCTTAATAAAACTGTACTATCTAACTTAATGAGTTATAAAGGCATTATTAGTTTTCCTTCAAACTGGAAGCGTTATCGGAGATATAAACATGTGACATATCTCCCACCATGTGTTTGAAAACCCTGATTGCACGTACCATCTAGAGGTAGAAGAAACCTTTGACTGCACATATCATCAAGAAGCAGATGAAACCCCTGACTGCACGAACCATCAAGAAGCAGAAGAAACCCCTGACTGCACGTACCATCAAGAAGCAGAAGAAACCCCTGACTGCACGTACCATCAAGAAGCAGAAGAAACTCCTGACTGCACGTACCATCAAGAAGCAGAAGAAACCCCTAACTGCACGTACCATCAAGATGAAGAAATCCCTAACTGTATGCACCATCAAGAAGAAGAAAACCCTGACTGAACGTACCATCAAGAAGAAGAAAACCCTGACTGCACATACCACCAAGAAGAAAACCCTGACTGCACGTACCATTAGGAAGAAGAAAACCCTGACTGCACGTACCATCAAGAAGAAGAAAATCCTGACTGCACGTACCATCAAGAAGAAAACCCTGACTGCACGTGCCATCAGGAAGAAAACCCTAACTGCACGTGCCATCAGGAAGAAAACCCTAACTGCACGTGCCATCAGGAAGAAAACCCTGACTGCACGTAGCATTAAAATGAAGAAGAAAACCCTGAAACATAAAGGTTGTTGATAGATGCCTGTATATCCCTCCACTTATATAGTAATAGGATGAGAGATGGCCGCTCATGGAGCCATCTTAAGCACCACCTTTATCCAACATGGTAAATAATCAACCTGTATGCCATCTCATAATATGAAGAGGAACTGGATGTTTGTACTCATCGAGTAGTTGTGCTAGCGGGGGTTGAATTTTGGCTCTTTGGTCCCGCCTCTCGACTGTCAATCAACTGGTGTACAGATTCTAGAGCCATTGGGCTCTATCATATCTACATTTGAAACTGTATGGAGTCTCTCTCCACCACATCACTGCTTAGTGCATTCCATTTGTTAACTACACTAAAAAAATTATTTATAATGTCTTTGTGGCTCATATGTGCCCTGACAGTCCAAATTTGGAGTAGAAAGTGAGAGTATATACCCATAGAATATAGCAGTCTGTGAGAGGATAAGTCACAGCTCCTAAACATTGTTGTAGATAAGGGTATATGTGAATTATTCACATATATATTATTCACAGAGTCAGAGTTGATTGGTTTTTGTGTTGAGGCTGGTATTTTCCCCCAATTCCATGTATGACTAACCATCCTGTGAGATAAGAAACAGGTATTAGATTTTTGTTTTTATTTACAAACTTAGGTATATACAATAATGTGCTGCTACCCTATTCTATATGAAAGATTACACAATGTAGATAAAAACTAGCTACAAGTTAATCTAATATTCCCATATCACAGGATCTAATTTAGTTACCGCTCTTAACAAAATCAGTCAATGGTAGTCAAAGAACAATAAACAAGAATACTTTTATTGTTTACAATTTATTGACACAATATACAAATTTTAGTCATTAAATTCACAAAATATACAAAAATGTTTAAGGGGTCTAAAAGAGAAATTAAGTGCTGAAGTAGTAAAAAGTTCAATAGTACAGTTTTAGTACTTAAAAGTTAGATAGTACAGTTTAGTAGTATTGTTTCTTAAATGGAAAAACAGCAAGTAATATTTCTTCCATTGATGATCTGCATCTTCAATTACAACTTCCACAGCAGAATATTTTAAATATTCAGTTGTTGCCATGTCATTGAATATTGGTACTGTTTCCCTATTTGTATTCACATATTTTAATTCCTACTCTACCACTAGGATTCCTGTTCATTCATGTTGGCAAGTGGTTACTGTGTTCAGTTGTATTATAACCAGACCAGCATGTGGAGCTCTTTAACCAGCGCTTAAACTGTTACTTCAGAAGTATTAACAGTTGAAGGGAAAAGATTACAGTAACATGTGGTGAAGGGAAGAGAAGAACAGTAACATGTGGTGAAGGGAAGAGAAGGACAGTAACATGTGGTGAAGGGAAGAGAAGGACAGTAACATGTGGTGAAGGGAAGAGAAGGACAGTAACATGTGGTGAAGGGAAGAGAAGAACAGTAACATGTGGTGAAGGGAAGAGAAGAACAGTAACATGTGGTGAAGGGAAGAGAAGAACAGTAACATGTGATGAAGGGAAGAGAAGGACAGTAACATGTGGTGAAGGGAAGAGAAGAACAGTAACATGTGGTGAAGGGAAGAGAAGAACAGTAACATGTGGTGAAGGGAAGAGAAGAACAGTAACATGTGGTGAAGGGAAGAGAAGGACAGTAACATGTGGTGAAGGGAAGAGAAGGACAGTAACATGTGGTGAAAGAAAGAGAAGTAATATGTGAAGGGAAGAGAAGGACAGTAACATGTGGTGAAGGGAAGAGTAGAACAGTAACATGTGGTGAAGGGAAGAGAAGGACAGTAACATGTGGTGAAGGGAAGAGAAGGACAGTAACATGTGGTGAAGGGAAGAGGGCAGTAACGTGGTGAAGGGAAGAGAAGGACAGTAACATGTGGTGAAGGGAAGAGAAGAACAGTAACATGTGGTGAAGGGAAGAGAAGGACAGTAACATGTGGTGAAGGGAAGAGAAGAACAGTAACATGTGGTGAAGGGAAGAGAAGAACAGTAACATGTGGTGAAGGGAAGAGAAGGACAGTAACATGTGGTGAAGGGAAGAGAAGAACAGTAACATGTGGTGAAGGGAAGAGAAGAACAGTAACATGTGGTGAAGGGAAGAGAAGAACAGTAACATGTGGTGAAGGGAAGAGGACAGTAACATGTTGTGAAGGGAAGAGGACAGTAACATGTGAAGGGAAGAGAAGGACAGTAACATGTGGTGAAGGGAAGAGAAGAACAGTAACATGTGGTGAAGGGAAGAGAAGGACAGTAACATGTGGTGAAGGGAAGAGTAGAACAGTAACATGTGGTGAAGGGAAGAGAAGAACAGTAACATGTGGTGAAGGGAAGAGGACAGTAACATGTGAAGGGAAGAGAAGGACAGTAACATGCGCTGAAGCTATTGAACTGAGCTACTGAACATTAAAAACAGGACAATATAATTATATAGCAAAATTTCACGAGTTTACAAAATTGCACACATTGATAATACTGTACATCATTGTATAGCTATGTACATAGTATACTTTATATGCAAATTGCAAAGTACCATTACAAAAAAATATAATAATTATTACAAAAAAAGTATGTAGTAATAGTTCATAACTGAATTTGCTTATTAATTTTTTAGGGAAAGATATTTTCACATAACTAACATCTGTAGAAACATAGAATATGAATATGAATGACAAATCTATGATACAGTATTTGCTATTCAAGCATGTGCCACACCAATGTTATATATTTACACTGTTTACAATAGTTTTGTTTATGAACACCAAGTACTGTACAAACATCCTATAAATTACAATTTCTGCAATCTAATGTAATTTTATCATGTGCTGTACTATATTAATTTAGTAAATAATTTGTATAATTAATTTGTAAAGTTTATTTTATCCAATTACAGTAATTATACTTGTACTGTATATATTGTATAATTAATAATAATAATATTTTTATTTAGGAAAAGTACATACATAGATGCAGAGTTACAAACATACTGTTGGATATATAGATAGAGCTAGTACATACAATACCTAAAGCCACTAATACGCATAGAGTTTCGGGCAATTCTTTTTATTAGGGATATGAAACCTGTGAATGTGAAAATAAATATTATATATTATATATATATACAGTATATATATATATATATATATATATATATATATATATATATATATATATATATATATATATATATATATATATATATATATATAATTTTTTTTTTATGGAAGGGAGTACCACCTCTGGCTGGAAGAAGGGGACCCTTAGCCTCGGAGGAAATCACACATAACGCATTAGAGGGAATCTTTAGGTCTCCTCCAATACAATTTCTGTGTGCTCTTCTCCTACCACCCCCTCCTTTTATCTTTTGTTGTGTTTTTATTAGATATTTAAAAGTTACAAGATTTACATTAGTTATTACAATGGGTTTAGAGGTTATGGACCTCTTGGAGTTCCTCCATTTCCAGAAAGGAACTGAGGACGCAGCAGGCATTTCCCCTCTGGATCGCCACACTGAGGCGCTGAAACAGGAAACTGGCAGCCCTTGGGTCTCTGGTGATGTCAATGAGCCTGGAACCCAATTCTTTGAGAAATCCCAAGGCACTCCTACCCCAGGGGCCATGTGTACAAGGCACTCCTACCCCAGGGGCCATGTGTACAAGGCACTCCTACCCCAGGGGCCATGTGTACAAGGCACTCCTACCCCAGGGGCCATGTGTCTCAAAGGCTATGGGAGCAAAGGCGTATTGACCTTCCAGTCGCCTGTACGTGATTGATTTTGCTGTTTCCTTGTGGTTGACCGCCCCACGTGCTTGATCAGCACCAAAGCGTACATAGGTGTCAGCCAGGGTGGATACACATGTGTAGTCCCACACCAACTGTTTGCCCCTCTTCCAGGGGTATATTGTGATGCCACTTTGGCAAAGTGCGGGGTCATCTGGGTATTGGCCTCCTAGGATGCGAGATTCTTTCTCCACTGGGCACTGAGCTAAGACAAGGCTCCTCTTGATGTCATTGACCTCGTTATGTCTTGCATGCCAGCCCTTGGATTTTCTGCTCTGCAATATGCAGTCCATAGTGGTCTGCTTCCACCGTGTTGCAAATACACTTGTATTCAGTGTGAATTTGGGCACCAAGGCAGAGGGCCACTACTACACGAAGGGATTCTGGATCTAGACGTGTGCCCATTGCCAACGTGGGTACTGCCCATGCAGGAGAAGGAAGTCTCCTGCATGGGAGGCTTTCTCCTTGTCTGATGTTAATAGTTAATACAGTATATATATATGCTAACAAGCCTGAATGGCTTCGAGTCACTTCTGGGGTGTGAGTTTTCAGTTGCATATAGTCCTGGGGACCATTCAGGCTTGTTCGCATGTGTGTTCCTCACGTGTGCTCCAAAGAATGAGGTGATTTGATAAAATACCATGCCCAAGATTACCAACCGAGTGCCGGCGGGGGGGATGGAAATAGCCTCGGCTACCATCCTCTTTTGTCCGGTCGTGTTGGTCGAGCGGTTAAGGGATCCTGTACACCAGCAGAGTGCTCCTGGCAGTATGGGTTCGAGTCACTTCTGGGGTGTGAGTTTTCAGTAGTGTGTATATTATATATATTATATATATAATATATATAGACCAAACCACACACTAGAAATTGAAAAGACAACTTGTCGTCTTTTTTTTTTTTTTGCAATGCAGATGCTGCCTTTACCCTAATAGTAATGTCATCAGAATACTGGAGAACAAACAGAGAACACGACTCGCAAGACTCCGGGTCAAAGGTGTCGTTGACCCTACATGCAGCATGACGGAGACAAAAGCGGTGACTGTCACCCTGAGACAAGGGCACACAGCAACCTTCAAACCTGCACGAGGCGGGCTGGAACTCGGAAGATGCATCCCTAGGTCCATTGAGACCAGACTGAGTTTTCCAGGGCCTGTAGGCTGATTGCTACAGGAAGCCCTGGCATGGTGTTGCTAACCAGTTAAGACCCAAATCTAATAAGGGGGTGGGGGGAGATCAAAACTCTGAAACTGCTGTGACATGTACAATCATGTGGGGGGCCCTAGCGGAGGGCCACCAATATTATAAGTGGAACTATAACCACACCAGGCAGACCCCCACCAGGCAAGGAAAACAAAAACAAAAGAAAAACCCCGCAAGCGTACAATGTCCCCAGAGGAAACAGGAACCGGCCGCCGCATAGGTAGGCAGGCTGCACAACACCTTGATGCCCCTACTTGCACAATACCAATCCCTACCCAAGGCCAAACAAGGGCCACAAAACCCCAGCTGGCTCCAAGGGTGGGGTAAGCGCCGAGCAGCAAAAAACCCCTACGGAATTGGTTTCCGAATGCACCAGGGAAGAGAACCTTAACACACAAGGGTAGTACTCACAGGGTGCTTAAAGAAGAATGCCCCTAAGCTCATGCATCCCTGGTACTTTTGAGGACACCTAGCCACCACATGCAACACCACCACAGAGGACATTACGAAGGCAAACACTGCTTGGAAAGAGAGGCCAGAGAAGACGTCCGCCCTGGTTTACATTAACTGACGAACTGGAGTGGCTGGGTCGCCAGCGCGGTGGGTCTGGGGCTCCCCCCTTCTACTAGTGGGGCTAGTGGTCCCCAGTGGGCAGACTAGACTAATGCTCCAGTCTAATGATTCCTATATTAGCCCAATAGCTCCAGGAAGCCGAATGGGCTCCTAACAGAAAAAATTTAAAATATATAATTTCAGAAAAACTCAGGTTTTTAGGCAATTTGGCCTATTAGGTATGATATATAATATACAGTATGTATATATATATTTATTATAGTGTAAATATTGTAAATACAGTATAATTTTCATAGCAAATAGCTTTAGTACTGTAGTCACAAAGAGTAATCTTTAATGGTAACAGTGATTGAAATACAGTGCACATTTGCACATTAATAATAAGGCTAGCTTTAAAGCTGATAGAGTTCCTTAAGTTGTGAAGGAAACAAACTTTTTAGTTATAATTTAAGTTTAATGCCAATAAATTGGGCAATAGGGCTAAATACTGTATTAAGTGATAATTATATCTGGAATCTTGCTTTTACTGTACAAGATTATGTAAAACAAAGGTTTCTGATTAAGAAAAAGAGTAATTTATAAATACAGTATATGAAATACTTTTCTGAACAAAAAAATAAATGCAGTAAGTGGAATGAGACAAATAGGCATCAAGAAAAAATACCCATAAAGGAAGTGTTGCATCTATAGAATGTGAAAAGATTTCCATCAATCATTGCAGAAATACTTGACATAATGTATAAATAAAAGGAAGGTTAGCTACTGTATAACAGGAGGGAAGTCTGTTGCCAAACAGGAAATATTCCCAAATTTGACACCATTTTATGAGTAGAACACTTCAAGCACTGGTTCTGTCACTTAAGGCACACTGGAAAATGAAAAACAAAAATTACATTATTATGGAGTACTGTATTACGAATTATAAAATTAGAAATTAAATTTCTTTCTGATTGTGTTTACAAGCAGCTTGAGGTTGTATTGGTGAAAATGTTCAAATATACAATTGAATGGTATGGTATGTGCCTGATTATCCTAAAGCGTGGCTTCAAATTCAAAGTACTGTGTCTAGAGCAATGTAAGTTAGAGTATAACATATACATATAATTTTTTTTTTAATATAAATGCAAAACAAATACATAGGAAAAAATATTTACCACCCTCAAATATTGCTTACATCATACAGAACATTATACAGAACTAGAACAATTATTATTTACAGAAAAATAAGCTGTACACTGCAAAAGTACCAAACATTACTAAGTACTGTACAATAAAAATTATATTTATAATTATATATAAATATAAAAAAGAAAAGAAAAATGTCTTATTAGTGTAATCAAACTAAAGTTACTGTATTAGACATGGAAGAAATTAATTTATAGTGTTAAAGTTTCAGTTTTAACTCGTCTGCAATTCATAAATTTCAGTTATTGATGCAATAATATTACAGTAGGTGTATTTAAAAAAATATACTGTAAATAACATCTTAGTGGTTAATTATTAGGTACAGGGATTTTATATTAAATAAAGCCATTTACAGTATATGCATTTTGAGCATGACTTCAGCATAATTTAGTTAATTTATGTTTAACTTAATGATGTAAACACTTAATTCTAAACTAGAAATAAGCTAACATATATGAATTGTTCAAGAAATTTAGAAAATAATATACAATTTTAAAGTGATATTTATTAATGTAAGGCATACAGAAATTTACTTATATAGTAAGTGGATATGCGAGTGACATATTCCAAGAAGCAACTAAGTAATCTCATTAAAATGCCAAAGCATGGGGCATATGTATCACAATACTGTACTCAACAATGGCTCTAATATCAAATTGTATCAATTTCAGCTTTTCATCTATACAGTAGTTATATTTTCTTCCTTACCACCTTCCACATGATTAATACTGTACTGCTGCTATACATTGTTCCTAATAACAATAGGAGAAATTGACCAAACACATAAGATAAAAAGTCCTTGATGTTACGAAAGATCACCTTGGTATGTAACAAGGGGTTAACCCGCATTTGGTATGAAGGGAGGATATCCCACCTGTCTCAAAATGCTGTAAGCATCAACCTCACAAAATAGGTTGTGTTATGTCTGGGTGGGCTGAGATAATGCATTAGCTACGGTACTGTCAGCATCCCTTAACAAGTCAGATGTCTGTGGTGAATTGAGAGATGTCCTAAGTTGTGGACTACCTGTGGGTAGAGAAACTCTTCCGTGGCTGTCATCGCAGACGTTAGTGGTTTGTGGTTGGCGAGGATGTGAAACATCCTTCAAGGAAGTGTCAGCAATGCTGGATGGCTTCATACAAGGTGAAGAGTTCCCCATGGAAGGTGCTGTATTTTTCCTCTGCAGGCAAAAATCAGGCTAAAAACAATGGAATGGGATGCCATTCCTTTCTTATTAGTTGATACAAGATTGCCCCAATGGCTATGTTGGAGGCATCGGTTGATGGGCTGGTGGGGATGTCAAATGTTGAGCAAATGAGCAAGGTAAGCTCCACGAGTTTGCATTTGATGTCACTGAATGCTGTCTTGGCTTGCAGAGTAAAGTCCAATGGAAGCCAGATGTATGTTTACATCCCACAGGAGGTTGTGTAAGTGTCACAATATGTTCAAACAATGTGGAATGAAACAGACGTAAAAGTTCACCATACCAACAAGCTATTGTAACTTTCTCAGGTTAGATGGGTGTGGGAATTCTTTAACAGCTTAATTTTTTTCTTAGCAGTTAAATTTCAGCTGCTGATGCATGGTGTCCCTGGAAGTCCAGCTCGGGGTACTGAAAATGCACTTCTCAGAATTTAATTGTAGGCTATAGTTACAAAAGCAGGTAATCAGACCCCAGAGATGTAGTAGATGGATGGTCTGCTGGTGAATGAGTGGCCACCAAGAAGTTGTCAGTGTATGATCAGCAGAAGGGGGAGGTCCTTGACCACTTGCTTGATGAAACGCTGTAAAGTCTGGGCATGTTGCGCAAGCCAAAAGACATATGAACAAATTCAAACAAGCCAAAGGGTGTTGTGTCTGCTATCTTAGGAATGTCTGCAAGTTCCACCGGAATCAATCAGTTGAAATGCCTTGAGCAGGTCAATCTTTCAGAAGATGGCAGAGTTGCCCAATCTAGTGGAGAAGTCTTGGTAGTATGTGTAGTATTGAGTAGCAATCCAGTAGGGTGCAGATATTTAGGGATCTGCTTTATTTATTTATTTTATTTATATATTTATTTATTTCTATACAAGAAGGTACTTTGGTTGTTAAAGTACTGCACTGGGGTACGCGTGTTACATTCTTGCAAAGCCACTAACACACACAGCATTTCAGGCAGGTCCTTATGTAACCAATACTATAAAGTAAAAATACCCAGTAGGTACACTGCAACAGAATTTGAGTTCAACATAATAAATATATTACAAATTAATAGAGTAGATTATACTGATGAAGTTGCATGTCTTACATCCTAAATTGGGTGAGTGGGTAGCACAAAAGACAGTGAGTTAGTAGCACAAGGTGAGAAACTATGAGGATGAAATTAGGCACTTTTTGGTTTTACTTTTGAACAAAATATAGGTTGGACAATTTTTGAATTCATTAGGGAGTGAGTTCCATACACTGGGTCATTTTATTTGCATGGAGTGTTTGCACCGATTTTGTCTGACTCTAGGAATATCAGAGATTTCTGGTGTGGTGCTCATGGGTTCTATTACATCAAAGAAGAGTTTCAAATTAGGACTAGAATCGAGGAATAAGTTTCTTTTTAAGTGTACATAGCACAAGAGAATGTGTGGAATGAGTGTATGTTTAACATGTTTAGGGATTTAAATGGAGAGGCAGTGTGTTGTCTGAAGACAGAGTTTATTATAGTTTCGATGGCAGATTTTTGCTGGGTGATGATGGGCTTGAGGTAGTTTGCAGTGGATGAACGCCGTGTTTGATTAGCGAGTAGTATAGTGTAAAATGAGCAGAGTGGGGAACATAAAATCCGATTTCTTAAAATATACCAACAATTATTAGAAACTTTTTTGGGTATGTGCTGTATTTGAGTACTGAAGTTTAGTCTCTTGTCTATGTATAGGCTAAGGAACTTTCCTTCATTTTTATGATTTATGTTGCTATCATCTATCTGAAGGTGAATTTGATTTGATGATTTGCTTCCAAATAAATTGTAGTAGGTCTCTTATGTTTAGTGTGAATTTGTTGGTTGACATCCATGAGCGGACTCTCTTTAATTTGTTATTTACCCTATTATTTAGAGTGTGTGGGTTAGAATTTCAGCAGATGAAGGTAGTACTGCATCATCAGCAAATAATATAATATGTTTAAGAATGTTAAGAAACAATTAACAAGTCATTAATGTATATAAGAAATAGGAGAGAGCCTAAGATGCTGCCTTTTGGCACTCCTATGGTTATAATGGTAGAGTGGGAGAGGTTATGTCATTGATGGATACATATTGGTGTCTGTTATTCGTGCCACTCCCCTGGGGCTGTTTTTTTGAACCATGGAGAAGCAATACCCATGGGCTGTTTGATGGTTGGATTATTCCTGCCTTCTGTAGTTTGTCGAATTTTGCATGAGTTGCTGTCAATTGTTCTGGAGTCGGGCACCATAATCTGGCAAAGGTAGGTCATCCAGCTGTGCTGATGTGGTGAGTGACAGAGTTTCACCCCAGGCTGAAATATGGCAGGCAGGCTGGGTTACATCTTTGAACTCCTCTAGCAGTGTCTGTAGGTCTGGGAATGCAGCCAGGATAATAATTAATAATTTACCTTTAGAACAGCCTGTATAAATATATATACTTTAGGCTTGTATTGAGGTCCCCCCAAGGTCCTACTGACCTTTCCCAGGATGCAACCTCACAACAATTGCCTAACTCCCAGGTACCTATTTACTGCTTGGTGAATAATGGCATTAGGTGAAAGTAAACATGCCCAACCACTTCTGTCCTGCCAGGAATTCAAACCCAGGATTTTAGATTGTGAGTCGAGAACGAACCCAACTGTGAATTTGTGCAGGGGCATTAGGGATAAATTGGAGTACTGCACACGTATGGTCGATGATGAGCTGATGGTGTCACAGGAAATATAACCCGAGGGTTGGCTGTTCAACATCTGCGAGGAGGAAAGAATATTGAAACTGTTTCAGAGAGGCAGTCATTAATCAAGGTGTGGACTCCATATGTGCAGACAAATGTACTGCATTTGTGTAGGTCCAAGTGAGTAGTGTGGGTTGGCTTGGTCAAGGGCAGCAACAGCACTAACTGCTGCAGCCCTGCCAACGTGGAAATGGCAGTTGGTTGTGATGTTTGAGATGTAGAGGAGTACAGTCTCTGACAGGGTGGGATTACTGGCTCATAACAGTCACCTCCAGATTGGTTTCCCATCGATGAACAGGGTGGTTGACAGTTACAAGCCCAGGTCCCAAATGACCAGTGGTGGTAGCAGAGTCCTGGTTGGTATCTCTTCAATTATCTGGATGCTAGTATTGAAACTCCTTGATAAGTGCTTGTGAGCTGGTTAGGGTGCCCACTGTAGTGACAGTCTGTTGTGCATCAATGAGGCGAAACACTGCAGTGCTGCCGGGTGTTACATAGAGCCATTCAGCAAGGGTAGTCATCCACTTCAATGAGGTCTAATCATCCACACTAAATAATGCAGGTTGAAAGTGCATCGACATGAGCTGTATCCACAGTGTATAATTTCTCTGGGGGATTGGCCGGAGACAGTATGCATGCCATAATGTACATGGTATAGAAGCTGGGTTGGTGTTCTGTCCATCAAGGTCTTGTCAATAAGTTGTCTTCATGGCCATTTGTAGGAGGGTGTCTGCTGCTGGGATGAAGATCACAGTGAAGGCTGTGTGTATAGCCTTCATTGGGAGTGCCAGCAGGCATGCCTAGTCTTGTCCATTGTGATCCCGTGATTATATCTGCATTGTACTTGGATTTGAAGGCTCTCATAATCCATCCTTTCATATTTCTAGCTGACGCTATATTTACTTGGTTATGCTCCCTAAACGTTAAGTCATCAGACATCATTACTCCCAGATCCTTTACATGTTGTTTCCAACTCTGGATAGATCTGATTGTGTTTTGTACCTTGTATTTTGTTAATGGTCTTCATTTTTACCATACCTAAATATCTGAAATTTATCACTGTTATCATCATATTATTTTCCGCTGCTCAACCAAAATCTTCATTAATATCATCCTGTATTTGTCAATGTCTTCTCTAAAAATAATTTTTATGCAAATATTTGTGTCATCTGCAAAAGATTATATGAATCTATGCCTTGTATTTTTATCTAGATCTGGTATGAGAAAAAGGAAAAGTGGTGGTCCAATGATTGTCCCCTGAGGTACAGAGCTTTTCAATGTGCTTGGCCTCGATTTTATTTGATTGACTGTTGCTCTTGAAGATGGTCTTTATTTGTATATCTTGGCTTAGACCAAGACTGCTCATTGATTGGTTAATGGGAGGCTGCTTGATTCTGGGCAATGTGGCAACATCATTTATAGTAAGTGGAATTCCTAGTTACATGTGCGGATGTCATTTATAGTGTGGAATTCCAAAACTACTTTTGCTGGTACAGTAATACTTATTTTTTTTCTTGCAAATAAAGCACTAACAAAAAATACACAAAAATAACAAGAGATTGCCCCTAACAGCACAGGTCCACACTGTCAATAGGGCTGGCCCTGCTACAGTAACTGTTAAATCACATTCACAGTAAAGTTAAATCCCACTAACTGTAGGATTTATTAACTACAGGTACTAAAGTAATAGCTTTAATAGCTTTTAATAGCTTTTCACGAGTGCTTTGTCCTGGGTTCATATCCTGGGTGGGAAGGATTTACTTGGCGTCACTCCTTATCTGTAGTCTCTGTTTACTCAACAGTAAAATGGGTACCTGGTAGTTAAACGATTTGGCGGGTCGTATTCTGGGAAACATAGGATTAAGGACTTGCCCGAAATGCTACGCTTGTTAGTGGCTGTACAAGAATGTAAGAACTCTTGTATATTCTGTATAAATAAATAAATAAAAATATTAGCTACTAAAGGCAAAAGAACACTAATAATAATAATGTTGAAAAAATAAGGATGGCCAGTATTAATGATGCCAGGTAGCCCTAACCAAACCGAGCACTATTAGATTACTCTGGTATGTTAACTTAAAATCAATATACAATAATTCGTCAATACTCATATGAAGTATTATTATGTAAACCCACTGTGCAATGATTTCTAAGAATGAATGACAAAACTTAAATTCTGGTCAGTGCTTGCCTCAAATCTAGTACAGGAACCCATTAGAGAATGTGAGGAGACTTTAGGCAATGGACCACGTTATGCTGTAAGTCATGTGTGTCCAAAGGTACGTGACTAAGTGGATCAACAGGTAGTTAGCAAAAACACTGCCTGGCAGTTCCTTTCATGCCATGAAGCATTTGGAAAGTCTTTGAGCCTTTCCAAATATCTTTGTTTTGATATTCTACCTATCTTTGTTTTGACATTTGGGTAATTACCAAAGGAGGGATCTCTCCAACTACCCTGGCTTCCGTGGCATTCTTCGTCAATTTTACTCACAATGGAAGTGGAAAAAAACAAGGGAGGGAGTGTAAGCAGAAGAATAATTTTGTTAAAAATGATGCTTTTCACATTCACTTGAAACCTTCTTTGTGAGCTTCAGTATTGCAATTTGTTGTTCTCTAAAGAGTCAACTTTGTAAAGCAAAATGGTAAAAAACTTTAATATGGTGTAGAGCCCTGAGGGATTACGCTGATTTCGGGTGAAGAGTATGTCCCCTAGCATAAATATACCAAAACAAGAGATTCAGCACAAAGAAAAGTTGCCCAATGCTGTGCACTGGGGTCACAAACAATAAATCTTATGCCTATGAAGGAAGGTAGTATTCCTAATATCCAAGCAGGACAGCAGAGAAGAAGGCTTTATTGATAGTAAACCCCTTCAAATCAAAAGCTCTTGAGTATTCCTGAGGCTGATCAATCTTAACCTGAATAGCAGAACTGACTGAGGATTAATAAAAAGCCTGTTAGAGAACACATGAATGAAAGCCATCAGATAATGCTGCAAGGATATAACCAGCCAAAGGAAATCATGAAAAAGCAAGATGCAACAACCATGTGCTATGTGGCTTTTTACCCTGTTGGTCATATCTAAAATAAGTAAGAAAGATTGTTTTGCAGGTAAAATCTTTGAAGAACTGTGAAGCACAAAACCTCGCCAATGACAATTCTAGACCCTTGTCTAGTGACCAGGCAGGTTATAATACTGCATAAAGAAAGGTTTTGTTATATTTTAAGGACAGATATTCAGGTATGTTGACATAGGACAAAACTGGAGAGGCTCTAACAATGCCACTATATGAAGCAATCATATTAAGCATGAGCTTCTCCATAAAACAGTCATATCAGAAAATTATAAGAGTTGCCACACAGATGACACCTGGTAGATAGCCAGAAATCTCTGCAGCAACTATTGTGTCACATGCATCAGAAAGTCGGTCTCTTTACAGTGATTGACCTGCCATAAAAATTTCATGTGATTAACAGCAGAGCGCCTGGATTAGTGTAAATAGAGAAAATGGGCGATATGTTGTGTGAAGAGTGGAGAAGAACTGCATTGGAACTGGTCACAAGGAAGCAAGCAAAATTATTCAGCCTATAAAAAACACACACTAATTTCTGCAAGTGTGGTATCACTATCTTGACTGGAGGAAAGAGAGATTAGCTCCCATGGGCTCCACTTGAGACATAGTGACTACCAAACAGTATCATGACCATAGAGAGAATTAAGCCATAGCCAGAAGATTGTGATTCCATGAGAGAGTGAACATCTTTCATATCCAGTGGAAGGAAGCCTTACCCAGCTCCCATTCTATCCAAATTGGATAAAACCAGAAAAGGCCATTTGTGATGCATTCAACATACCTGCAAGAGTGAGCCACAAAAGGCTCAATTAAATTTAGTTTCCCATACCCGGCAAAAGGAAACCTCTTAATCTTATCAAATTCACTCTTAGGTCAATTACTGACCACCTCAGGATGCATTGCACAACAGCTACCTAACTCCCAGCTACCTTTTTACTCCAAGGTGATTAGATAATTAGATGCAAGGAAATAGTGGCCAAACACTTATTTTCTGCTGTGGGAACTGAATCTGGGACCTTTTGGCTGTAACCTAATACTGCATATCACTATGCCACAGGATAAATCATAATTCACATTGTCAGGAACAGAAATCCATACTTAGGTGTATCAAAGTCCCGTAACCAACGAAGGTTGCCTAACTCCTGGGGTAACTAACTATTTTACTGCCAGGTGAACAAATGCACCAGATGAAAGGAAATGTGCCCAATTGTGCCTGTCTTGGCCAGGGATTTAACCTGGGACCTTCAGCTGTGAGCCAAGGATATAAACCACTGCATTACAGGACCCTTTGTAAATAGTTCATCCTCAATAAGTCAGTTGTTTTTGTTGCTATTATTAGTATTAAATACTGTAAATGTGCTATTATAATATTAACCTAAATCCAAAGAAGCTAAAATAAAGTAAACTACAGTATACCCTTTAGTATTAAGTTTCACTCTAAAAAAACAGCATTGAATGCAATGAAACACTTTTCTGGGCGAGACTCGAAGGCTCCTCTGGAGCTATCCAGGCTGATATGTATATTATTAGACTTTGGCATCAGTCAGTGTGAATGGAGTTCTAG